AGATTTTTTTTTTTTTTTTTTTTATGTCTAGGATGAAGTGGTAAAGTTGACAGATAAATGTCTTAACAATGCAATTGAGAGCCCAATCGCAGCAGCAACGTGGCTTCCAGCAGATCTCAAAAGCAATATCCTGAAGGCCCAGGCAGAAGCAGGGCACAAGGTAAATACTCAGCCAATAAGGACTGTGACATTCTCAACTGTTTTGTTTCTCTTCAGTTGCCTGGTGTTGGAGAAGGTGCCTTGCAGATAAGGGTGCTCCAAGAGCCAAAGTCCAAGGTAGAGCAAGAAAGCCTTTCAGCCTTTCTTCACAATAATAGTGGTCTGGTACTGGAACGGTTCCCCAAGGAGCGATCTCCATCCTTGATGATACTGAACATGTAACTGGACAAGGCCCTGAACAAGCCCTGGTTCGAGTGGTTATTGAGCCAGATAACCTCCAAAGGTTGCCTTCTAACCAAGAAATTATTCTGTGATTCTGTAGCTAAGACTATGCTTCTAGCATGTTCTAGTAAATTCTGTAGCAAATAATGGTATTTTATTTGGCTATGTTGGTGAATTATTTTTATTTCTGCACTGAGGTTTTCACATAGAATTGATGTTTTCAGTCCCTGAGCAGTAGATGAACAGCACACTTCCGTGCTGGGAGGGAGACGCTCGGCTCTTCTGTGAATGTCAGAACTGACACAAGACGGAAGCAGGTATCAGAAATGTATATCTTTGTTCATTTTTTCCTCTCAGGTCATAAGAGAAGACAGCCTGACAGGTGTCAAGAATTCCAATATTCAGGATGCTGCTGCCAGGTACTGAATAGATTTGGAAGAAGCGCGTGATCTAGTTACCCAAATACAGCACTGTACAAAAACCTGACACTGACAGCTGATTTCCTGAGAATTACTGAGTCTCAAATGATTGCTAGTTCCGATGGGATTTCAGGCATTGAAAAAGTTAAAGGGTTGCAACATATAATTTCTTGACCATTTGTGAAGATGAGCATGTGTCAGACCTCAAAGAGCACGTGGGGATATTGAATAAAATGTACATCTAGCGATCTGAAAAAATACGCTGTAACAAGAGCTTTCTGTGGAAGGTTGTACCTGTTTTTTTGTTTTGTTTTTTGTTGTTTTGTGCCAGGAACATTCTCCCGTCAGGCAAAACACCGAGTAGTCCCCCAGCAACCAGTCCAGTATTTCAAGACCCAAGAGAGCTGCTGAAAGCAACCCCTGCCTCAAACACCTTTGTTCCGTAAGTGATTCAGGAGAAATGTGTTTCTGGGGTAAGGGAACCACATGGAGATTATCATGAACAGGTCTGAAAAGATGAGGAACAGTTGCTGAGCATTTAGGCTACATCTAACTAAGCAGGTTTACCGATGCATCTTTAATTACTGTTGCAACAGTTAGTCAGTGTAGGCCAGGCCTCAGGTGAGTATTCTAGCAAGCAGTAAGCAAATCTCTCTCATCTTCTGAAACGACTGAAATATCTGACATCCTGCTGCCCCTGGCTCTAAAGAGGAAGATAAGAGGATGGCAGGGAAGGCTTCAGGTGAATTAGAAACAAGGGCTGAAGAGGCTCCTTTGAGATAGAAGATATTGATACTGTTGGGTCTGTACACAGCTGTAGCTGAAACTATGAAAGAGAGCAGTAATCTGTGGAGGTAGTTGGAAGGCATTTGCTTCAACGTACTCACAAATGTTGGTCTTTTGTCTGCCTCGCATGGAACTGGTGTCGAGTTTTTGGGTTGAGCTATCAGGGAAGCAGCACTGTTTCATGCTATCCAGGCAGCGTGCCGATGAGAATGTTTTCTCCTTTCAGTAATGCGTTAAATGAGGACAACACTGCCTCTAACCATGAGGACCTGCTGATTCCAGCTAGTCTGGCTCCAGCTGAGGAGGCTGCTGTTTCAAAGGTATCACCACCTGCCAGCCTGGAAGGTTTCTGTGTGTCACGTTCTGAGCTACTGATGCCTCCAGGCAAGCACAGCAGACCTTGCTGCATGCCTTTCATAACTCAATGAATACCAGTCGTTGGTGAATGCCAGAGAGCGCTTTCTGGAGCAGATGGGGACACTGTACAGATCTCTCCAAAGGCCATTTCTGAGTGTCCTTTCAGGTTCTTTGCCTGACATTTTTCTAAACAGATTGTTTTCCTTGCGCTGGTGGGGAGCCCCTCATATCCCAATGATTTGATGCTCCAGGAAGGAGACTGCAGGGATGAAATTCTGACATAGGCAGTTTGTATCAAAAAAACCACAGAGGGAAAAGTTCAAATTAAATGTTTAATTGTTGTATTCTGGTTACCTTAAGGATAAGGTAATTTTTAACTGGACTCCATGAAATCACGTAGTAATTCAGGGGTCAACTTTCCTTTGTCCCTCTCCAAAAGAAGAGTCCAACACTGGACTCTGCTGTTACTTCAGCAGACTGAGGGGTTATTCTGGATCACTAAAGCACCATGCCCTTTAGGTGTTGTTCCTCTAAACCTGTATTATGTAGTTGATCCCACTGAATAATTATCAATTTCATCTTCTGAGTTCAAATACTCAGCTCACAGACCTGGCTGACCTTCTTGTCGAATGGCTCAGTACCCTGTCTTCGCACAGGAGAATGGGACAGTTGCACAGCTTACGTGGCAATGACTTTGTTTCCAATACGTTGATGAGAATAAGTGAAATGAAAAGGCTATTAAAAAAGATCATATGGAAAGATTTGAGAAAACAGACCTGATAAACAGGGGTGTTCATTAAGGACACTGGTCTATAACTTGGAAAGCCACTAGAGTATTCAGCAGACCTATCTGGTTACTACTGGGAATTCAATTCAAAACTGATTTATTCCATAGAGCACTCCAGATGACCAGGACGTTTCCTTAACATCACTGACAGAGAATCTAATTGACTTTACAGAAGCCACACCTCGGGTAAATGTATTTCAAAACCAAACTTCTTCCTTCACACGTACAATGGTTTTCGCTCATAAACTCTCCTCTGGCTTTAGCATCTGTCCACCAGGCTTGGATCTGCTGCAGTAGAGTGAAGTGGTGATTGACCTGAAGCACTGCATATATGCCCCCCTACTTGAAGGGTGGCTGGCGTAGGGTTGTAGACCCTACAGCTTTGTAATGGAAGTGAAGGAACCTGAAGAGTTAACTTGTATCTGTGCCACAAGAGCCTGTAGTCTTATTTTAGTACACCAGCAAGTGCCAGCCTGCTTCTCGGGCTTTTGGGTATATGTAATACTTCAGAAGTTATATGTAAATGTGTATATACATGCACAGACATATATGTGTGTGTGTATATGTAAAATAAATACTTGAAAAATAAAATTTTAATACAAATAAACCCTTTTACGTAGATGATAAAATCTCTTATAATCTCTGCCGGCGAAAAAGGAGTTACATTGTGTGCACCAAAAAAAAGGGGAAGGAGTAGGACCTTTAAACTGTTCACTGAAGTGTGCTCTCGGTTAACTTTGTCCACAAAGCAGAAAAACATGATGGGTTCAGGTGCCTTTGGGAAGGGGCGCGCTATGCCGAAACTGCTACCAGTGAGTTTCTGTGAGTGGGCGGGTATTAGCTGTATGCTGTGTGGGTGCCATTTACCTTTTGCTGTGAAGTCACATCATCTGCAGCTAATCATGAGCATGGTTCAAAGGCTAGTGATGGACAAATATCCGAGATCATTTTGGGAGGCAGTATTGTTTTGGGAGGCAGTATTGTTTTGAGAATGTTCTCAGCTACTTCCAACCTTTTCTAATGAGCATTTGTTTGCTTTTTGTAGGTGTCTTCCCAGCCCACGATAACACCAAGGTGGATAGTGCCAGTGAGTTATTTGACCATTCCTTAACAACAACCAAGAAAAAAAAAAAAAGAAAAAAAAGAAAGATTTTGTCATGATTAAGAAACAGGAGCTCAAGTAAAATAGTAAAATATAATAATTTGTAATCATTTGAAAGCCCATAAAATAATGTACCAGACCAAAATAAAGCAAACTAATTCAGCTGGAGTAAATCAAACAACATACGTATCCTGTTAATATTTAAACTTCATTTTCGCTGCATTACATTGCGGGTAAATGCCAAAAAGTTTCTTTAAGAACTTGCATTTAGTGAAGCCCACCCTGGAACTTGATGAATCTTAGTTTTTACTGTTGTAAGTAAATCATAGTGAAAAATTAGCTTGTCTTGTCCTGGCAGGTTTTTATTTCAGTTTCCTGTTTTGTTCTCCCCAATTCAGACTGGACTGATTTCCAATGGGCCTTTGGGAAATGATGTTGCCTTAGCTATGAAGGCAGTGAAAGGCAGCACGGAGACTCTGTTGTCGTCAGCTGGATTGCCACCATCCCAGCAGACATCCGAAGTCCTTGCAAGGTAAGGTCTCCTCAGCACTCGCTTCAGAAGTCTGTATGGGGTGGAAAGGAAGTATGTGCTCTTGCTGCTTCCACTTAAATAGTTATAATGGTCATTCAGACACAGTGCCTTGTTCTGCTGTGCTTATAAACTATAGTTCTGTCTCACTTTATAGCATTTGAAAGCCTATAAATAAATAGAGCAGCTGACGTGTGTGTATTTTTATATAACATTGTTTGAAGGGTAAGAAAACATTTTTTTTAATTCAAGTAAGTAAAGGAACAAAGCATACAAATTTAGCTGGAGTTGGAGGAAAACCTGTTGTCACTATAAGCGCTATAAAATTGATTAATTCTTTTTAATGATCATTTCACTTCAGTTTCTTTCCTTATCTGCTAACATGTTTTAGTACTGGACTAAAATGATGGTACAGGTGAATTTTCTGAGAAATCTCTTTACAGTGTTTCAATACCTGTCAGAGGATTGGAGTGGGGGGGGGGGGGGGGTCCCC